GTATACTTTTAGCATTTTTACTTTATAAGATTTTTTCCCTTTCATTACCAACTGATATTCATTTTCTTAGTGTCTTAAAATACAAAGTAGACATCGATGCAAACACAACCAAACAATGAAAAGTAAAGGGAAAACCATGTTTCAACACTCACCAACTAAAAAAAATCAATAATGCTTACAATAGTACCGACAACACCCGAAAAGATACCTAAAATTATTAAAGCGATTGTCTGAATTTGCTCCAGTGTGTTTGCATATTTAGAAATGTTGAGTTGGTTGAGTTTCCAGCGGTACAACCCAGGCAGCGTAAAGCACAGCGTCGAGCTACAAATCGCACCTAGCGGTGCTATGATCGAGACAATGTTTGGGATAAAGAGCGCCACCGTGATGCAAATCATGCTGAGTGAGATGCTAACTATCATATGATCTCGCATTGAGATTGTCTCGATCGTGTTCAAAGCCTTTTTCTTCATCTGAATCATGTGCATCAATATATCACTTTCGGTGTCTAAATTATTCTCGGAGCTGAGCAGTGCTATTTGCTCCTCCTCATCTACAATGCGGACAAACCTATTAGGTTGAGGGACGTGCGTGGCAACCGAAGCCTGGCTGTAGCCATACCAGAGAATAAAAACGGAGTCCCGAATTGGAATCACCAATAATATGAATGCCAAGTTAATCGGAATCAAGTAAATCATGTAACCCACCGCAAAGAGTCGGTCAGAAGTAGGATCATAGTTATTAATAATATTTTCGCGCACATCAGTGGGATTTGTTAGGTATCCAAAAAGGCCTACCACACCGTGGATTGTTGTTGAAATAATTAAGCTCACGGTCGCCACGGTAAACATGGTTCTGCGGCTCATGTTATTCAATCCAGCATAGATTTGAAAAACAAGCGATTGACAGTCGAAGGAAAACATTGTAATTGGAATAGTTAGCAGGAAATTTTTTCCCCACCACCATGACACCCTGTTCATCTGTGAATTCATATAAGCAGCCGTTTTGCCATTTTTTGAGAAACTGTCGCCTACCTGTGGAGAGTTCGGCACAAAGTAGCGGTAAACTACCATGCCTGAAATCATTAAGGTAGAAGTGATAGCCAAGAAGGAAATCCCATGCAGAGATCCCAGATTTGAAACGCATGATAAGGGCAGAACAAAAAACGCCCAGTAAAGGAAAAGAGTGTGCCGCGGCGTCAGCAGAATCTTCACATACTGGGAAAGTATGGGCTGCAATGGAGCTAAGAGGTCCCCAATAACAACCAAATAGCTGACCGCACAGCCTGTAAGATACGTTACAAGGGTAATCCGAACCATTTCTTCTGCCTTACGTCCAAAGAGTCTACGTGTGATTTCCTCATAACTATTTAAACCAAGCTTTTCGATGCTATGAACAATGAAATCAATTGAGTAGACCGTCATGACGGCAATAAATACCATCAAAAGTGTAGCTAAAACAATCCCAGCATCAGCATAGGCAGAGGGTAACGTTAATATACCTGCTCCCATCGTGGTAACAGACAGACTGAGAGCGGCACCTAGAACGCCGTCCGTACCAAAGTTGATCCATGAAACCATAAGTTCCTTTTGCTCTTTATAAGATCTGAAGGGTAATATTTTTTATGAGTACTACTGTTTCCTATAAAAAGCTACTAATAAAAAGAGACCAGACAATAGTAAAGTCAAGTTTATGGGAATAGGATAAAAATCGTAAATGTTTACATTCAAGGTGTTGTGATGAGGGGGAAAAAATTACCCTAAAAAATTATACAATAAGTGGGAAGGAATAATATATCAAAAAGGAAGCTCTTTTTTTGCCTTCCTTATCCACATCACTTTTTTTTTTGAAAAGTCAGCAAACAAAAAATCCGAGAGAACAATGAACCTAAATGTAATTCAAGATTTCAAACCTTCTTCTCAGAAAGTGCGCAGATGGCACCAAGCCTAAAAATGTCGCTATTTTTTAAATGGGAAAAAATAACAAAGGGAGTATAAATAAATACTAGTGGCCAATGTATTGATTCAGTACCTAACAAGTTCGCCTTGATCACACTTTGAGTCTGTATATGTGCATATATATATATATATAGTCATATGTGAATATATACAAACAAAAAGATAAAATTAGGTAACTTGGCAGCAGACTTGAAAAATTTTTAAGATCCGAGTTGAAAATCGGCTTCAAGAAAGCATTGAAAACTGGACATACATACCGTCCAACTCTCATTCCCAGACTACAATCCTCCGATCTTCCCCGATTGAGATAAGTCTCGAGGGTGTTTCTGGAGTCCATGCTACACTGTGCACCGCGTACGCTTTCTCATGGCCACTCACTAGGACTGACAAGACTACCTCGCTCACACTGTTTGAAGCCCCCATAGTATTACTCACTCTGGACAGAAGTGTATCCTCGACAGTCTGCGAAAGCGCCAGCACGAGCACTTCCCCGTGGCTACTACCTACAGCAGCAATTTGCGAGTTCATAGAGATTGAGAATCTCGTCCAGTTCGAGGTGACGATAAGTTTTGGTGGTCGGATGGCCCGAAGAGTCAAACTGAACATGCGGATATCTCGCACAAGAAGCATGTTGTCCTTTCCGAGAGAAACACACAACTGACCATCGGCGCTAATGCGGACACACGTGGCCGGTCCTTGATGCGCACTCGTAAGTTCGCATGTCCGCGTTGCCGATCGACGGTCCCACACGGCCAACGACCCATTGTAATGCGCGGACACGATACTGTCGTTGATCACTATCAAATCATTGCAGGTACTTTCGACCAATATCGTTCGCAACACCTCACGGCGGCGGATATCCCAGAGTTTTAGTGTATGATCTGAGCTCGCGCTGAAAGCGTGTTGCGCGGTCGCGGACAAACATGCCGAGACAACCTTTTCACTATGCCCGGACAACTCCAGCGACCGCATAGTGTTCGTATCCCAGAACCGCACCACGTGGTCGGCGCACCCCGCCAACAGGTAGTGTGATACCGAGTGGAAGGAAAGCACCAATCCCCTGCTCGGAAGCGATTTCTCCAGCACCACCTTGCTCTGTGTGAGGTCCCAGACCCCGATACACTTGTCCGACCCTGCCGTGAAGAAGCGCGGGCTGCCGCCGTCAGGGACGCACACGGCCCGCATCCCAGACCCGGCGTGTGCGGCGTCGATGCGGCATGCCACGCGTGTGGGGGGTCGCGTAGGGTCCATCCCCGTCGACATCCGGTTCGGGGCGGGTGCGGGGCCCTCTGGGGGATTCTCCAGCCCTCCCCGTGCCGTCCCGAAGGACCGCCGCACGGCGTCGAGTTCGTGGTCGCGCTGCTCCGCCTCAATTGCCTTGTCCCGCAGCAGCTCCACCTCGTCACGCAGCGAGACGTACTCCTTCTTCACCAGCGCCAGTTCCGAGGTGCGGCGGCTGAGCTCCTCCTCCAAGACCGTGACTCGGCTTTCCGCGACTTGGGCGCGTCCCTGCCATGTGTTTAGCTCCGCTAACCCGCGGTAGAACTCGTTCTCTTTTTCCATGTACCGCTCGAGCTTTTCCTGCAGCTGATCTTTCTTCTGCTGGAGCTCGAGCTCGTGTGCGGTGTGCACGGAGTTGTCGGCGGCGAGCGCTTCCAGCTCCCGCACCCGTGCTTGAAGTTTGTCGTTGGAGACCAAAAAGGCATCCCGCTCGAGCTCGGCGGACTGCAGTCGACGGACGTGCTTGAGGAGGGCCGCGTAGCTGAGAAAGAGGCACTCGCTAGGCCTCAGCTCCGCCTCGTTGCGGTTAAGAACAAGCTGGTTAAAAAATCGCTGCCAGGATGGATTAGCGCCGGGTTTTTCATGGAATTGAGGAAGAGTCACATCGGTATTTGACGCCAGTGCACTCATAATTTTCCGCTATACTGGTAAAGCTTTCCAAGGGCAAAAAAAAAACCTTCTGAAAGAAAATAAGCTACACAGAACGCGTTTAAAATGTTTTTTTTTTTTGATGAAGATAGATTGACTTGGAAAGCAGGGAATGGGTTAAACATAAAGCATAGTATAGAAAAAAAGCGTTGAAGAGTAATGAAAAACTGCAATGTTGGAAATTGTAACCTCATCAGGAAATGATTTATGATGTTCGCGAATAGTACAATTTTTTTCTCATATTTTTTTCCTACCATTGTTATTATTCAATTATTGAAAAAAAAAGTCCACTATTTTTGAAAAAAAAAATTTTTAAACCAGTTGTCACCGTAAAGCAAATTATATATATATATATGTATATATATATATGTATCTATGTGCATATATAGATACAGATATATAGGGAAAGAGAGAGACAAACATGCATCTTTTTTTTTCCTTTGCAGGTTTGAATCTGACTCTTTTGAGAATTCTTTTTCATACTTCACTTTTTCATTTCATTATGATTATTATTTATCATTGCTTTCGCAGAAGCACTATTGTCATTTTTGTTTCTGTTATTTGTCTGGTCCCCATTTGATCTCCGCGGCGGTTGCAGACTATATTGAGCTCACAGTTACGGGTGTTTAATTCCTCGTTCTTGATCGAGATTGCGGATCCTTTTGAATTAATGAATTACTGCCCTGTTCAGAACGGCGCCGCGTAACTCTAGAGTGATTTTGCAGCCGTCGTTTTCGTTTTGCCACGACCTGCGGGGATGCATGGGATGAGGCTTTGGAGGACGTCTCCACGGGCCCTAACACCCCTACCGCGGGATCATTGATCGTTAAAGGGTGGTCGGTGGGCTCACTAAACGACTGCGCGGGGCAAACACCGCAGACCGAAGGGGGCGAGGCATGCGCTGTGGTGATTCCGCCCGAGGAGTCGACGAACGGCGGCGCAGGATACACCGGCTGCCGACCTATCGATCGCGACGCCGCGGGGGAGAGGGTGGTCGATAAAAAAGAACCCCCACCGGGGGCGCGCGACTCCACCCGCGCAAAAGTCCCACTTGATTCGTTATGAATCGGCGCGCTGGGACCACGACCGTTATCGGCGGCGTCCGCGCGGTGTTCGTGGGGTCGATTCCGGCTATGCGAATGGGGGCGGTGTTCTTCAGGGTGCTGACCGGCCCCCGGGGGTTGTTGTAAAGACGCCATCGAATGGAGTATCCCGGCCTCGGGAATGGCCATTGACGGGACCGGTTGGGCTTTACGTTTGGTAGGTGGAACATTCGTCATGGGATGAAGAGCCGTCGGAGTCGTTAAAGGTGAATCCCGCATGTTTGCTTGGGTATTAAACTGAGGAGAGTATGAATGATAGATTGCGCTGCCGTCAGCACTGGCGTTTGTGTGGCAACCTAGCGTGTTTGTATTTGCAAGCCCTTGTGGGATAAAATATGGGCTATTTTGATTCACACTACGAGAGCAGTTCTCCTCGTTCATCTTTTTCATATGCATCGTTTCATCGTAGCTTGGTGGAAGCCATATAGTGGAATCTTCTTGTAATGGCTTAATTATATTTTGATGAGGCTTTGAAGAGGCATTATTATTGTGAATCAAAGACTTAAAGAGCCTTACACTTTGAAGCTGAAGCTGGAGTACTCTTAGACGCGATTGGTTGCGGATGTAGTTCACGTGTGAACGGAATACCGGTGAGTAAGATGGATAACGCTGAGATGTACACTCTTTTCTATCCAAATTTACAGACTTGCCAATGTTTATGAATGAATTTTTGAATGCATCCTTCGGGACGGATTGCAAAGAGTTATTTTGGTCCGAGGCCACACTGTGGGAAGGTACCATTTGATTAATATGCATGGTGCTCGACGTCACCTGGTTTTGACTGGCGCTGTCTCTATCCTGCTCTAATTGATATGTACCCCATCGAGTTGGGGTTTGCATCTCGGGATTTTGTGTTGATTCCAATGTGTGTGGCAGAAAAGTATGGGATAACGACTTGCACAACGTTGCGGTAGGAACTAACGGTGGTGGGTGTATTGGAGTGAGTTGACAAGTTTGAGATATCGTAGAGTGGGAGGGAGCTACGCGGTTGATCAGGCCACCCCTTCTTTGACGGCTTTCCAAGGAAACTGAGGAGTTTCCGGGGGGCTCCAAGACGGATCCCGTCCCGATGCTCGGATGCAGCACCGGATAGGGCGGTAGGCAAGAGGCGACTTGTGTCTCGGCAGTAGGACTACTACCATTATCGCTTTTGTCAATGATTTCGCGCTCACTTGGGGGTTCATGCCCGACTGTGGATGGCATCTCTGCCCTGTCTGTGTTATTAACCATTGGGGCGGGCTTGGTATAGTTGGTCGCCATGGCTTCTGATGGTGGCGAGGACAACACCGGTGAAGCTGGAACCGACCGCAAAGGTGGCAAGGGGAATTTCGACGGAGCGAGCTGCGTCGCGTTGAGGAAATCCCATACAGAATTGCCACTACCGCCGGAAGGGATATCATTTTGAATTAAGCTCACGGTGCCGTTTATGGGCTTCCGCCAGAGATTCAGTGCGTCAGGGTCATGTTCATTAGAGATGAAAGGGTGCTGCAGGAGCTCCGTCGCGGTTGGTCGCTGAGCCGGGTTTGCTGTAAACATGACGTTAATAAAATCAATAAAAGCGGGTGATGGAGTTTTGGTCCCACAGCTTACGTCAGGGATCACCTGTCCCCTCGAAACGAGTTCATTACCTTCACAAGCATTTGATTTATCGGAAGAATATTCATGATTCTGTGTTATCAGGTTTATAGAGGTTTGAGTGTCATCTTTACATTTTTCATGATCGGTATGTGGGTTCATGAAGGTTCTTGCCTTATAGATATCCTCTAATGACGGTGAGCAGCCATATTTGGAGCCAATATGAAAAATAACTGCAATGGGATCGCAGTGATGTACTTCTCGCCAGGGAAGAATACCACCCGTCGCCATTTCATATACGATGCACCCCAAAGCCCAAATATCTGAGGCGTGTGATAGCACCTGGGTGCGTATTAGTTCCGGGCTCATGTACAGCGGTGTCCCACAAAGCTTGGTTACCTCATTGTTATCGTCATAGCTATTCTCGGGAAGTTGATTGCTCGAAAGATGCCTCCCTTGAGAATGCGCCAGGTCCTTCGCGGCATACTTACGGGTGATGTGGCTTGTGCCGAAGTCCGCCAACTTCACATTTCCCCGATCCGAAACGAGGATGTTGGCACTTTTCAGGTCCCCATGAACCACATTGCAGCTCTTTAGGTACTCCAACCCTTCGAGGATCTGAACAGTGTAAAGCCTAATTACGTTCTCCTCAAAGGCACCAAAACATTTAATGAGAGACTGAAGCGTCCCTCCGGCGACATACTCCATGATGATGCAAAACCCCCTATTCGGATCCTGTTGAAACCCCAAACATTGCACGATTCGTTGATGCCGTAGTTTACTGAGCGCACATAGTTCACGAATATGGGAGCATTGAATATCCAGTATATTGCTTAAACAGTAGTCTTCTTCCGTACGCTCGGAAACTTGGCACTCTTCCGCTTGGTAGTGGACAGGGTCTGCCGACGAGTTCATCTCTAGTGGTTCTTGAACATTACCATTGCCAGGTTCTTTTTGGTTATCAACCATTTCTCCACTAGGCAAAGTTGATAACTGTGAAAATGTGCACACTGATGCCATAGTAGGTTCCATCGACGTCGCCAAAGAGCCTTTTCCGTTATTCTCGCAGATTCTTTCTTTGTTTTTCGTCTTTACTTTTTCGGATTCTGGTCTCTCAAGTACTGTTTCCTCTTTTCGTGTTGTTGCGGGGCTTGTGGTGTCGATAGAGTCGTCCACTCTCAAGTCAAGGGAGTTAAAAACCCTGTTCTCTTTGCAATGAGCTTCCTTTGACGTTTTCTTCTTTTCGTGTGTTCCGCATGGGATTTTTTGTGTGTCGACAGAAGAACAGAACACTGATGGTTGCTCATGATCCTTTTTTATCGCATTGTTGTAGCTATCACCTGACTCTACGTTCTTGCAATCCTTGACTTTGTCGTCATCCTCAAAGTCTTTCAAAGTTGGATTCATGTGGCAAGTCAAAGAAGAGGAGGTGTGGTCCGGGGTCACCGACGTGGTTTGCAGTGAGTTGACTTGTTTTAGAACTTTAACCGCTAACATCATCCCGGTGAGGATGTCAATACCCAAGTAGACGTCGCTGTTGGCGCCCGAGCCGATACAATTCCCCCACTGAATTTTTCTCAATGGCATGACGACGTAGCTCGGGGCGCCGTAATATTTGTTGTAAAGGGGGAGAATCGTGCACTCCGCGAGGTTTCCATCCCCAGATGAATTGACAAAGCGGCGTAGCGTCGTCGCGCCCGAAGGTGCGGAAGCGGGAGGGTATTGATTATAAAAGCGTGGTAAATCGGGCATAGGGGTGATTGGCATAAAGAAGTTACCAGAGGGATGAATGGTAGTTTTTGTCCAGCCCTTCTTGGATCTGAGCACCCTCCTTTCCCCTAAGCTTCGCATAATTTGGTTGGAAGGCTCAGCTGGTTCTTTGGGGGCTAGCTTTAAGGCTTTAGCCTTTTGCTGAACCGCATCCTCTGTGGAAGGAAGATTGAGTTCATGGATAGTTGGTGGAATTTCTTCGCCTGGCGCGATGCACCCATCACTGAGCTTAGCACTATGTCCCTTTTCTTCTATTTCAGTTAATTTTGAGTTTTCCTCCTCAGATTTCGAACTTAACTCGGGCGTAACGCTGTGCTTGGGCGGACTGGGCGTGACTGGTAGAGATTTTGGCGTTGGATAAGGGTGGAAGAAAAAGTGCTCCAAGTAGCTGTGAGAATTGGTAATGCTCCACAGCTTGTTTGTCGACGAGTTTCTCACTTCACAAGCGTTATCAGCGGCTTCCTCTGGGGCTCCTATGTTTGCATCGTTCTCCTTGTATTGAAGTTTCGCAATATTTTCTATTCTATCATCTTCGCCGTATTCATTGTTGCGCTTTTCGTGAAGGCGAACAATCGCAATGTCAAAACCCGTTTGGAGCTCAATTTTTCGCCCTCTGCCAACACGGATATCGTTCACAAAGGTTCCATTGGTGCTGTGGTCAGTTAGAACAACTCGAAATCTGATATTCGTCGCTGCCGTAGTGTTCATTTCACACGTTGGTTGAGTCTCATCATTTTGGTCTTCAACCTCGTCGAAGGGATTGACCACATTATGAGGTTCCTCATCCCACATTTGCTCACAACGAGTATGGTTTAGATTGTTGTAGCCATGCGATTCGACAGAAACTTGCGATAACGCGCAGGAATCGGTATCCTCATTGTCCTTTGGGTATTGATCATCACCAATTAATAGCCTATCCCCCGATTCCAAACCTAAATGTCCTTCCCTTTGTACCAAAGGAGGTTCACATTTTGCCGAAGTCGCATGGGCCGGTGTCGGGTGGTCCGTTCCCTTTGGTTTGGGTGAAAAGGCCGCGATGTCGACCTCCACCGCCACCGCGACGGCGAAGTGGATTTGGCTAACCCGCGGATCGTCCAAAACGATATCGCAGAACGGATCCCGACCGACTGTGATGGTGGTTTTGCGAAAAGTACACTTCAGACTTGCACTCTCGGAGAGGAGAAGTCCCCAGGAGTCATTCAGGGTGTAGCCCCCGTGTAAGCCAACCCCATCGCTGATGGCACTACACGTCGGTTGGGTGGCCTCCTCCAGGGTGTGAATGGCGAGGTTCGAATTGGGTGGTGGATTGCGTGGAGACCCATTTTCCCACCCCTGGGGGGAAGAACCGTGCGGGATCATCTTACGGTCTTGTTGGTCAACGTGAAAGCTGTCAAAGGAGACGGCTGGGACGAGTAAAGGGGGATCCAAACGACCTGGGTCCCGCTTCATTCAAAAATAAAGCGGTAATGATGTAAAAAATAATAACAATAATGAAAGGTTTAAATTAAAGTCAGTATATGACTTTATATTTAGTCTATAGGATAACTTTGTTTCCTTTGTGAAATTCGATTGGTAAAATGTCAATTTATAGCAATACATATATATATATATATATATATATATATATATATGTGTGTATATATATATGTATATGTATACGTGTTTGTTTTAAGAAAAATATTTCTAATGTCAGGAAAAAAACGAGGACGGATTGTCGGGCTTAAAATTTAGTTACAACAATTTTACCTCTGCGTGCTTAAATGTAGCTTTGTTTATAGAAAAAAAAATAAACTAAGGGAGTCAGAGGTGCTCATCATTTTTATGTCGAAAAGTAAGTCTGAAAGATTCGAAACATACACAACTTTCAATCGTGTGGTACATGATCCATTTTGGGATATTGTCATTGCAAAGTATTGAATAAAGTCAAGCTGATAAACACACACACACTGAAGAAAGGTTTTCACAAAAAAAACTTTATCACAGATTCACTCTTTCCAAGAACACTAAACATAGGTATGGGGTCAGTAGGAAGACGTGTTAGCAGCTCACTACACATTTTGTAGTTTTCACGCATCATACATACCCTTAATACCACGTAGCCCTCTCGATCGTTCCAGACCCACACCGCTACGCTTTTCGGAAAGGATGGTAGGCGGGTTCCTGGGCAAAGTGAAAATCTTCGGCATCCTCGACAACAGCGGGCTCGATGAACAACGGCAGCAACCCTCGTTTTTCCCATTCTTTCTCCCGAAACGCCTCATCGGTAGTGTACTTCAGATCAAAATCGGGGCTATTGCTCAGGTCGATAATTAGCTGCTGACGTGCGAGGGCCTTGCGCTGGAGCGTGATGGAAGCTTCCCAGGCCTCCCCTTCCACCCCGGTGAGCGGGGCCGCCTCGCGAATCGCGCTATGCTGCTCCTCAAGTTGATCCATGCAAATCCGAACGAGATCCTCAATTTTGTGTGGGCTAACAAACGGGAAGACCTCTGAAAGATCCTCCTCCTCCTCCTCTTTCTCCTCCTGAAATGGTTCGTGATCTTTACTCGAATCGAGGTGGTCGGTGGGGCGAATAATGGAAGGGTACTCCGCCTGTCGGGATCGAAGCTGCGGGATGTCGAGGCCAAACCCGGGCTCATACCCCATGAGGGGCGGGGAGAGGGTAGGAACGCGAAATAACCCGGGGGGCTGCTCGGTGTTCAGCAACACCGCCTCCTCAAGGCAATCCGCCAACCCAAGCTCCCGCACCATCTCAAGAGCCCCCGACATTCGTGAAAGGAGCCTTGAAAGCCGCTCATCAAAAGCGGTTTCGTTCACCCTTCGAAAGCGGTCGTAGGCATCGGCCATCCCACGTTCCTGGTCGACGTCGGATTGGCGTTTTCGACTGTCGTTCAGGTGATTTTTTTCGTATATATATTCCATTGCGGCCTGTGCCCACTTCTCATCGCCCCCAGCCTTTCCTGCGTTTCCCATATAGCCGGAGGCGTTTTTCTTCTGGCAAAGGAAGGAGCTTGGAGAGGCAATCGCCGCACCGGCGGTGATATGTTTTAGGGTGACAGAACTATGTAAGAACATACCCTTTCTTTAAACTAAAACTACCTTTCTCTCCCTCCTCCCCCCCC